CGCATCGGCCCGTGACCGCGTGCACGGTTCAGCGCACCCAACCTGGCGCCGCGCGCCGCGCAGACCGTCTCGCGGGCGGCGCTGTCCGGCAGACGGTGACCGCGCGGGTCAGACGCGACCTCACGGTGACCTTTAGCGCTCCGTCGCCCGCCGCTGGTCCGCCGTCGGTCTGGGGGCAGTCGAGGGTCCGTTTTTCCGCCGGCTGGGGCGCGGAGGAGAGGAGGAGCTGTGCTGGTTGTTGCAGATGGGAGGCGTCGTCTTCTTAGCTCTCGCTGACGCGCCACGCATCGTGACAGTCCAGTACCGTCACACTGAACTCACAGTGACGGTGATCGAACGGATGGATCGTGGCAGTATCCTCATCAAGAACTCGCGGCAGCCTCACAATTGCCCCACGCCAACCTCGCGGAGAAATCCTTCATTCTCACTGACACGTCACGCGCTGCCAGAGGGCGGCACGCGACGCGCCCTCGTCAGCGGTCGCCTCTCCAGCTCGCCTCTCGGCCCGGCGGCGTCAGTGACGTCATCGCGGGTGTGAGCGGCTCGTTAACGCGCTGCTGGCGTGTCGGGCCGCCGTTCAGCCCGGCGTTGTGTCGCCGGTCGCCGCGTGCTTTATCTGTTGTTGGCCGGCGGCGGCGGCGGCGCGGTCTCGTTTGCGTTCGGTGCCGTGTTCGCCGCCGGCCGTTAGCGTGATTCGGCTGACGCTCGCGGCGAGGTGTTCAGCTGGGGCCCGCCGGGCGGCCGGTCGACTCATCGGCGGCGGGGCACGTCAGGCCGTCGGCTCGCCGCCATTGCGAGTCACAGTGGGACGGAGAGCTGCGCGGCATCACGCTGGTTGGCACGGCGCGGCCCGGTGCCGGGCTCATGATCTGCGTCGCTTTTGGGCTCTTGTGTGGGCAGGGCACTGCTGCCGATTGCGGTCAGTGTTGTGGCAGGTAGGAAATGTCGGGTTACGTTCGTCGCGCGTGCCACCCGCCCGTCGGCACTCTACTCTGGAGCTGACCGTCGGCGTAGTTCTCCAGTAAGCGCCAGCCCTTGTCACGGACCTCGTCACGCAGAGGGCGTCCAGATGTCTCGCCGAGTGACGCGGCCTTCCAATCAGCTCTGAGCTCGTAAGACTTTCCTCAGACGGCGAGTGTTCCCAGTGCCGTTTTGTTTCACTTAGCCGTGAATTGTGGGCGAGTGGAAGCACGTCTGCTACCCCGCTGTGCTCCAGATATTCGTACAACATCCGCAGCAGGTGACAAACGGCTTCCTTGGCATAAACAAATGGCAACTGCTGGCCATTTACCACCGAGTCGATTAACTGGGCGGTGTACGTGACGCCGCGTCATCTCCCGGAGACCCTGGCGGGGATAGCCGTGCCCGTGTCGGTGCCTGCCTCGTGCTCACGCCGCTGGCGCGCTGCAGGAGCCGGACTTTGCCGCGTCCCAGAGCCCGCCCGCCATCCGCACCCGGTGTGGTTCAGCTATTTAGTTCGGCCTGCCATCTGGCTTTCGGCGTGGTCGGTCGTCGGTCCGCTCCAATCACGGCCTCTCCGACCGCCGCACGGTCCTGTGGAGCCAGTCCCACTAACGGCTGGTTAAAATGCAGGAATCTGGATCGCTGTTCTGGGTAGCTCTTGCGCGTCGCGATGTATTTTTAAACGGCTGTAAACCGTCAGGCGCTCCAGGACCGGCGAGAGTGCGTCGGCATGCGTCAGCGAAGCCATGGCTGGTCCGTGTAATGCGTACAGAACGCATCCGCCGCGCGCCGCTGGGAGACGAGGTTTTTAGAAGGGTGAGGGTATAAGCCGTTGGTCATGTGTCCAACAGCATTCCTTCTCAAGGACTACTATTGCGCTACACGCAAGTGAAAAATGTGGAGCTGGCGCGCGTTTCAAGTGTAGGTTTGTGGCTGTTCGTTCCCCAGGTGTTGAAAGTAGGCCCACGTGTGTCGGTAATTACACATATTTGTTAAAAAAAACTCGGTCGCCACATTGTGGCTGTTCATGGCACGTGTACATTTGCTCCAAACAGCTGTGGGCCTTGAGCTCAGCTCATCTGTTGTGTGCCGTCCCACGGGTTATCCGTCGGTTATCTTTTTTCCGTTAATGTAGGCCGGTGCGCACCGCGAGTGCGTGACTATGCCATGCCCTGTAGGTGTGTAGGTGCATCATAGCTCACCATTATCATGCAAACAGTAGGCAATTGGCCATCAGGCTGCTGGTATACTAGCGGCATCGGACCTCCGCGCCTCTTCAACAATGCTCAATGGCCAAGCCCGGCAGCATTACAGCGCACCACAGCCCATCCCCTAGCCGTTACCTGTACGCAGCAGCTGCATGAGAGGCCGGCGGCGATGGAGCGACGACCGTGCATTACCCGGCGTTGGAGGGGTGCGGCGGCGCTGGTGCCGGGGGCAGGATCATCCAGCGGCGGGAGCGCTGGGCGGTCTGCATACTAGAGTAGACCGAGCCCCAGGCCGGCCAGCCCCGGCGGCAGCGGTGCTGAGTGCTCCGCTGGGCAAACACCGGCTGGGCCCGGACTAACCAGAACCGTGGCAAATGCTGGCTGAGCGCCGTCCCAGAGCCGTGTCAGAACCCTTGCGAAACCCCTGCGAAGCCCCTGTCAAACCCCTGCCAAACCCCTGCCAAACCCCTGCCAAACTATTGCCAAACCCGTCATACCCAGTGCCTTACCCCTGCCATACCCATGCCAAACCCATGCGAAACTCCTGTCATACCCCTGCCAAACCCTTGCCAAACCCCTGCCATACCCTGCCAAACCCCTGCCAAACCCATTCGAAACTCCTGCCATATCCCTGCCAAACTCCTGCCAAACTCCTGCCCAACCCCTGCCAGACCCCTGTCATACCCTTGCCAAAACCCCTGCCAACCCTGACCAGACTTGATCAAAACGCGGATGCTGTCTGAACATGAAAAAGAACGTTGTCTAGGCTCGGACTGGACCTTGCCCCGCCTATAACCCGGCCGAACCTTTGCTGAACTGCTCTGAATTGTCCGTTGAGTGGAAATCGCGATGGGGGAGGGCGGCGGGGCTTGGTGTTGTCGCGATCTTCGCAACGAGCTGCGCTTGGCGGGGACAGGAATACCACAGCCATCACCGCGGGACATTCGGTCACGTTTGCCTACGGAAGATAAAAAACGGCACCGGCCGGAACCGATAACGGCTCCACCCGAACCCCGGATGAATAACTTCGGCCGAGCCCCGATGCGGCCCTGGTCCAGTCCTGGTTCGGTCTGATCCGGTCCGATCCGATCCCCAGATAAACCCACATCTGGTCCGATTTAATCCGGATCTGATCCGGTCAGATCCAGTCCAGATCCGGTCGGTCAGGTTCAGATCCGAGTCCCGCCCCGTCCGCTGCCGCGCGGACATCGGGGGCTGGCTGGCGTGACGCCGCCGTAACGGCCGCCATTTAATCGGGCCGACGGCGTCCCCCCGCGACGGCGCAGCGCGTGACGTCACGGCCCAGGTCGGCCCCCGAGCTGGCCTGGCCGTCGGCTCACAGATCTCAATGACCGGGTCGGGCTGGGCCGGACCATTCCGACCCCATAAAACCGATCGTAAATCGTCGGCGGCGGCACAGTTAGTCATCGCTGTCGGGCGGTCGAGGTGGTGGGATGCGGGGCCGGCCGGGTCAGGCTCCGCAGCGTGTGGTGGGTCATTAATACAGGTCATATTATTCATGGCGGAATTTTAATGGCGTGGTCGGGGCGTTGCAGCCACCCACGCGGGGCGACGCACCTAGGCCCGTGAGAAGAGCGGAACGGAATAATTGAGACGTCAGCTCGTGGGCGTGTCTCTCGGCGTGTCTTTCCCACTCACGTCTCGGAGGTAGCTGCTGCCGCTTTTGTCGGAGGCTTGGAGAGTTCCGGCGCGACGGGCAGGCTATGGAGGCTTGGGCCGCTGGTCTGGTGTGATCTCACGCGGCCCCTCCCCTTCCGGCCGAGCGGCGGACGGGCAGACGGACGATGTGACCTCCCGCGGCCCCTCTCTTCCGGCCGAGCGGCGGACGGGAAGGCGGCCTGAGCTGGGCGCTCCTGCACGGCGCGGAAGCCCATCGGGAAGGCGCTCCTCCGGATCTCGTCCCGTTACGTCACATCAGTCCCCCGACGTGTCACGTGGTGTTGGCGTCACGTCACCTCCGCGCGTCACATCACTTCCGTGTCGCCGTGCCGCTGCTGTGGCGGCGCCCCAGTCACTTCCCATCACGTCAGTTTGCGACACACGTCAGTCACATCGCCTCCTACCTGCCAAGTGAGGTCACACCGATCCCGTGACGTCACACCAACTCTGTGACGTTCCGTCAGCTCTCCGTAACGTCACGCCCGTCCGGCCCAGCGCCGGGATACGGGCAGGACGGCAGCGCGACGGCCGACCCGGCGGTGGAGCGCGGGTCGGGATATGCGGACAATGCCGGCCGCCTGGGCAGGATGCCTGGCCGGCGGGCGGGCTGGCAGGCCGGTGATGGATTCCAGTGGCGTACGTTGTGACCCGAGGGCGTTTTCTGTGGAGATAAGCTGCTACCTGCCTGCCTCGTGCACACGACCTCTTCGTTATCTGGGAGACGATTGTTTCTGTGTATGCTTCGCCTGCGAAGCTGTATTCGTTCAGGTGAATGTTATCGCTTATGTTCCGTTTCGTTTGTTTTGCCCTGATCGCAGTCATAAAGCTTCTTTGAGCCTTGACTTCAGAAAGTCTGATGGTCGCTGTCCTGGTTTTCACCTGCCGAGTCCCGTTTAGCTCACGGCGGCATAAACGGCTCGTGCGTAAACATGTAGCCCCTTAATTTCCTCTCACCCCAGGTCTGTTGGGTGTCTTGCAAGTGGGGCAGGGGCCGGCCCGCTACTGTCATCAGCAGCGATGAGTCAGGTCTGCCTCAGCCCGCTGCCTCCGCCCCACCTCGCGCCTGAGCTGTTCCTGTCGGTCGTGCTGGCCGGTCGCCCTGCCGCCCGCCGCCGCCGGCCGTGCTGACCTCGCCCCCTCTCTCCGCAGATATCGGACATCGTCGAGGGCGATGACTCGATCAGTGCGAGGGACGCGCTGCTCCACTGGGCCCAGCGCACCACCGAGCGCTACCCGGGCGTACGCGTGTCCAACTTCACCTCCTCCTGGCGCGACGGCCTCGCCTTCAACGCCATCATCCACAGGAACAGGTGAGCCGACGTGGAAGCGGGGGAGGGGGTGGGGGAGGGCGAAGGAGGGGGGGGGGGGGGGGGGCTGTCGTCGCTGGTGAAAGCGACAGACCATGGCTGCGAAGGAGAGCACGGTCGGTGAGTTGCAATGGTGTGATGTTGAACATTTAGTGGCGTTGACATTTCAAAAGCTGCTGTCTAGAAATAGAAAAGCATGAGGTGTCTGTTTTCCCCACACTCCCAGCATACTTGTGAGAATTTGTCGGCGCTCTGTGCTGGCCGCAAAAAGCTAGTCATTGTCCCAGCAGCCAGTAATTAGATTCATGGGTCTAGCTTAAATGCTGCTCCCCATTCTCGAGCTAATTCCTGTTTCGCCAGCGGAGGAGCATCAGCGCGCCAACGCGTCGTAAATGTATCCCATGTTCATTTAGTCACGGCGAGAGTGGCGTTATATCGCTGCCCGGCGCCCGTCCCCCCGCCGGGCTTCCACAGCACGGACCTGCGCCGTCCGGGGGGAGGGCGGGCCGCCGCTAACGACCAGCGTCGGCGCTTCCGCGTGGCCGGTCCGCCGACGGCCGCTCGCTCCCGCGGGACGCCGGCCGCCCCACTGCCGACAAATGAGACACCGCCGGGGACGGCCGCCGCTGCCGGCCGGGACGCGGGCTCGGACCGGACAGCTGGAGCCTCGGGGGATAATTATTGCCCTGTTTGATGGGTTGCTCAGATTCGCGATCAGGCTGGCGCCCGGCCTCGATTCGCGCTATCAGGTTCATGTCAGCGCCGGCGCGCCGTTTAGCAGATTGCGATCACGCTCCGGCTGAAATCTTTTGCCATGGGAGAATTATCTGTTCAGGAAGGGATTTTATTATCTGACAGGAAGCGAACGGAAGCATGCTAGCTGTAAGTGACGCGGGTGACCGAGAAGTGCTTGGCGCGTACAGTTCTGTACCTGTTGACAATTTTCTTGCTCAAGACCATTGCAAATGGAACAAGGACAATAGAAAGCATGGCAAAGTGGACGACATGCTGGGGGTGGAAGTGGAGCGCGCCATGCTGTGGCGCTGTGATTTTCTAAATTATTAGCCCTGCACAAAGTCGCGTTCTGGTGGGGTCCATTTGCCCACCTATTACTTTGGCCTCAGTCCCCGCACAAACTCGGACGCTCTACAACTGTCATAACTGCAGCATTGCGTCCAGTCGTCTCAAAAGTGCAATTTGTGTCGAAAGTTCGTTCCTTGATTCGAGCTTCTTAAGTTCGGACCACCGTGTATTAAGCGAAAGTAAAACTGGTTTAGCCCATGCAAATACATCTGAGCGCGTGGTCCACAGTCGCGTTGTCTATTTCGATCTGAAGTTGAACTTCCCTCGGCCGCCCATGTAAACGGGTTAAATGTGGAACGTTCCGAGATAGTCTGAGCAAATCGGTCTTCTGAAAATACACGGGTCCGTAAGTCGCTGGATGTCCAGCGCTTACGGCATTCATGGGACGCGTTGGGGCATCCAGTGGATGATTACACGGTGGCTCTATCAGACACGTGTTTGATTGACCGCTTGGTAGCCAGTTGCCCCGTACCAACTGCGATCATTGCGAAACTAACGTCCACGCCCAGCTGCGACGAAATCTCCGGCGTGAAGGCTGTGTGCGTGATCATACCACGGCCATAGCCTGGGTTGCGGAGGCTTCGTGAAACGTCACTCTGCCGTAGCAGTGTGGGCACCGACTGCCTCTGACTGCCGCGGGCGGTACCCTCACTGCTATTTTGTGTTGTTTATGTATTGTATGTGGGCCGCCTGGACTACTTCAGTCCGTCTTTTTAGCCCGCCCGGACTACTTCAGGTCGCCTCATTAGCCCGCCTGGACCACTTCAGTCCTCATTAGCCCGCCTGGACTTCTTCAGTCCGTGTCGTAGTGGACTACTTCAGTCCGTCTTGTAGCCCGCCTGGACTACTTCAGTCTGCCTCATTAGCCCACCTGGACTACTTCAGTCCGCCTCATTAGCCCACCTGGACTACTTCGGTCCGCCTCATTAGCCCACCTGGACTGCTTCAGTCCGTGTCTTATTAGCCCGCCCGGCAGCCAGGTGGCGGTAGCGTGACCCAGCGGCGCCGGTTCCATCACGCGCAGCCATTCGGATCGACCTCGCGGTGTCACGCGGAAACAATGGCCGCCCCGGAGACACGGGCGTAACTGCTTTGTAATGACCCTGCAATAAGCGGCAGCATTCAAGTAGGCACACTCGCCCTCGCCGCTGGGGCTCCTGGTGAACGTGGGCGCTTTCGTATCGCCAGTGCTGCTCGAGACGACGTGGAGGTGCAGATGTCGCGTCTGTCCGCGGGGCTGCTTTGCGCGCGCGAGGCGCGTATTTGGGCGAGAGGGGAAAAATACCGGTGCACTTGCGGCGTTCCGCGGAGACTTGTTCGTGATCGGTCGCTTTGATATTGATGATGATGATGATGATGGTTACGATATTTGATGATTCGCGTCTTTGATGCGGCGTCTGACCTCAGGTCGCGCGTGCGAAATACCCGACAAACACTGGTCGGGGTGCTGGTGGCCCTCCCTCTGTTACCGGAAAACTAGAGTGACGAGACGCGCCCGGGCCCACGCGCGCTGAATGGTAGACCGCGCTTCCGTTTTCCGGGAACTGGGACAAACACAGTGGTGGGCTAGTGTGTTGGAGGAATGACGCGCTGGCTGAACACTGGAAGGCATCGTGCGCGGTACTCACCGGCGCTATCTCGTGTACGCCATCGCGAAGGCCGCCATTCGAAAATTCAGAAGATAAGCTGGTGATCATGATGATTAAAGGGTCCACTCAAGCTCACTTACCAGAATGAAGGACTTTCATTGCTTTTTAGTACCATATAATAATGGTCACTCGGACGGTTTCATGGGTTAGCTGGGGGCAAACTTCCCTATTTGGTCACGAGTTCATGGCCTGCTTTCATAACTCACATGCACACAACTACCAACGACTTACGAACGTCCGAAATCGCGCCCATGAAACCAGCGTCAGCGCCAATCACATAACCGTTTCATTATTTTTCCACGAGTTTTCAGCCGGGACGTTGGGTTCACGACGCTCGGTCAGCCGACGAGCCATGAGCGGCCCGGCAGCGGGCGGCACAGCTGGCGCCGCCGGCAGCCGCCGGAGCGACTTGGCACGGCCCCGCGCCACGCTCCGTCTGTTTATCGGCCGGCAGTGATAACCGACCGATGGGGTTGTTTGCTCTGCCCGGCGCCGAAGTGGTGTGCGGGGACCGACTCTGGCGATTTGTCGGGGCGTCAGCAGTCGCGCTGCCGGAGATAGATACGGCTGAGTCGCCCGACACCAGGGCCGCAGCTGGGGAGGGGCGGAGGTCTCGGGGCTGGTGCGTCGGTCGTGGTGCTTCACAGCGGTGGAGGAGGGATGTCCTGAGCGCTGGCTCCGTGGGAGTCATGATCCGAGAGATGTTCGTGGGACCAGATACCGCCTCCTGTCGCAGCCATTCGTTATGCGCGATCAGCATGAATCGACACAAATTGTGTCTTTGGTCGATGTTGTCCTCATCTGTCGGACATGACCAAACAGACAGGGCTATATCACGTTTTGTCACGCTCACTGACTCATGTGCCGACGTGACAGGTTCGCCTCTCGCTCACCTGGAATGACCTCTGTGACCCGTGCAGGTTACTGTGACCTGAGCTGACCTGTGTGGACCCGTGCTGACACACGCTGACCTGTGCTGACCTGTACCGACCAGTGCTGACCTGTGGTTACCCGTGCTAACCCTTGCTGACCTGTTTGACCTGCCCGCAGACCTGATCTGGTGGACTGGAAGGACCTCCAGCATAAGTCGGCCCGCACCCGGCTTGACCAGGCGTTCCATGTGATGGATACGGAGTATGGCGTCACCCGCCTGCTGGACCCCGAAGGTGAGTGACCGCCGGGCGCGATCTCCCCCTGCCCACACCGACACCAGACGGCGAGCATGCCGCGCCGACGTCTCTCTGAGGGGATCTGCGCCTCTGAGGAGATCAGAGGGATCTGAGGAGATCTCTCTGAGGAGATCGGGACGTATCCGGCGATGGTCTCGAGCAGCGGCACCACAGAAGCCCCCATCATCGCCGGACTAAGCGCAGCGTGCCGGCCTGGCCGCGGCAGCCGCCTCGCCGTCTGGCGCTCCTGGCGTGGCGCCTGCGCCCCTCGGCGCTATTGTGACGACGCGGCGAGCGGCGCTGTTTACGCTCGGTGACGGCGCCGCTCGCTGTCACGTGCGCGCGCGTAAGCAAACAGCCGGCGGTTTTGTTGTGTTACACGAGCGGAACTCCCCGAACCGGCGACGCGGCGGACGGTGCTGAACGCCGGACGGAGAAGGCGACGGTTTGTAAATTCAGCCGCGGAATTCGGTCGGGATTTCTGCCGGCCGGCGGCCGGCCGCTAGCGACGACGCCGAGTGTGCCGCTTCGTCTTCGCGAGCGCCATGGTTTCGAGCTGCTGCTCTCGCGTGGGCGAGCCGGGATCGCCGCCGAGGCAATGACGCCGAATGACCGCCGCGTCGAGAGCGGACATTTCTCGGTGATGTCCGACGGAAGGCCTGTACCGCGTCTCGTCGGTGGATATGGGGAGCAATAGCGAGAACGTCCATGCGGTGGGAAGAGGAAATCACGGCGGAATGCTCTCAGGAAATGAACGCCCTGTTGGGAATCGGCGCCGCGGGAACCGAATGTCACGGGAGCCGGAGTCGCGGGAGCCGGATGTCACGGCGGTGGACGATGGCTCTCAGCAATGCGGTTGGTGGCTACGGCCGTTGGAAATGTTGGGTGGGGTTCAGCCGCACGAATGCTTCATGTCACGTCGAACGGAGTATGACAAGCCAGTGCTCACATGAGATAACGGCGGTGGTCAAAGCCGGTGTCTGCACGTCAACAAGCGGATGCTTCCAGCGCAGGCCGACGGACTGGAGGGTTTCCAAGTTGTCGTAACGGTATGCTTGGTGACCCGGCCCTCAACGAGCGACGTTTGCGATGCATGGCCGCTCGACATCGCCAACTGTTTACATCTGCGACGTCCACGGCGCGGCCGTCCTCCTGTGCCGCCGCAGCCGGTGCGGTGGAGACGCAGGGGCGGCGTCATGAGGCGACCGGGGGCGCTACGCTCTGGGGGCTGTGCGGGCGATCGGGTTTCGGGATTCGGGGATCGGGATTCTCAAGGTGTGTTCCTATTGCGAGCGCAAGCTCGATTTTATACGTGATCACCTGAGGCCTTATTCGGGATATGAATTTGATGCCCTGTACGGTTCTGGTTACCACGGCGACTGCGTGGTGGACTCTGGTCACGACCCCGGTACGGTCACGATCATCCTCAGTCCTGGGCGCGACTATCGCCTTAATGGCAGGCATAACCTCTACCACGACTCTAGCCGCTCCTCTGAGTGCAGAGCTGGACAGTCCCGGCTAGTATGCCGTTCAGCCACAGTGAGACTCATGCCCAGCCAGCCTAGGCACGACCCAAGACAGTCACGACTCTGGCACGGCTCCGTGTCAGGTCGGCTCCTTCCGGGGCGCGACGTGCGCGCGGTCCACCCTTCCGACCTGCTCGTCGACCGACGTCGGGCACCATCGATCGACAGTATTGGTCGGCCGCCGGTGGGGGTCACGTGTCACGCCCATGACAGCGTAGCGCCCTCCGGCGTCGTGATCCTGACGCGATGCGTCACCGACCGCGGCGCACAAGCCCGGTCTCCCGCCGCCACCGGGTCCGGATATGGGCCGCCGGCGGGCAGGGGCGCGGCTGACCGGCTTCGATCGGCGCTGGCACGCGTTGACCCGCTGCCGCCCCGGCGCGGTGGGTGTCCGGGTCACGGTGCGGGTCCGCGTCGTGTGGCGTGGCTGTCGGGTGGGGCTGAGTGGCGCTATAGCCAGGTTTTCAGTTGGCTCTCTCCTCGCTGCGCGGTCACGCGGCGCGCTGGTGGCTCGCTTGCATCTCGATATCAAGCCGCTTCGGGAACTGGGCGTGTCAGCGTACCCGATTGTCGGCAGTCTCTGACCCCGCTCAGCCGCATTTCCGACTTCTAGATCGGGACGGCCATCTGGGCCTGGTCCGGAGCTAGAGACGGTCGGTTGCAGCTTTCCGCCAGTGCCGCGCTTCTCCGCCGACCTGGGCCTGCCGCACAGATCGTCTTGGACTGCTGGCACGTTCATCGTGCTCTTCTGTTGAAAGAAACTCGATGCCTGCCCGTCGCGCGCCCTTTTGCCGATGCCTTGCCTTGCCTTGATGCCTGCCTTTCGATGCCTTGATGCCTGCCTTTCGATGCCTTGATGCCTGCCTTTCGCGCGCCCCGTCGAACGCCAGCGGCTGCAGTGACCATATTGACGCCCTGAGGCCATGGCGCTACCTGGATACGAACACGGGTCCCCACGTGGGAGCCGAAAGCGCTCGCCACTCGGCTTCAGTCTCTCGTGCACGTCCCGCGGGCACGCCGTAGGCGGTACGGTGCAGGGGCTTCAATTGGCGGGTCGTCGTGCCCCGTCCGTAGGAGGAAGTCTGCCCATCTTGTCGGCCAATTCGCTGTGGGTGGCGCCGAGTGATGAGGCCGGCCCCTCACAGCGGCCTCCGGGCCGCGGTGATGACGGGACATCCTGCAAAAAGAGGCTCAGCGTTGTGCGGCTCCCCGCGCGCACGGAGGAGAGTCGTCCTTCTTTAGGTCGAGGTGGAGGATGGTCGTCCACTACAGTGGGGTGAGAGTTGCAGCCGCCCCCCCCCCCCCCCACACCCCCAGCCCTCCCATCTCCCGCCCGTCCTCGAGCTGCAGCGCGCGCCGGCATCCGGTGGGCTCGCCGGGTCAGCCCAGGCGCGTGACCCTCCGTCTGCTCCCCGCTCCCTCTGCGTCACCCTCGCCCGGCAACGAATCGCTCACGCTCTGTCGGACACCTCATCGCGGCGAGTGACGTCACGCCGGGCCTGCGGCGTCGCCGGCGAACCTCCGCCCATCGGCGGCGACGGCGACGGCGGCGGCGGAACGTGAAAGCGGACATAGCCGGATGAACGGCAGCGCGACCGTGCCGCGGCAAGGCCGCTGGCGGCCGCTTCAGGTGACCCCCCGACTGGGAGAGCTCAGCTGCCGCGCCGGCATCACTCGTGCCAACCGCGCCCGAGCGACGGCCGGCTCCGGCGGGTGCCCGGCGGCGCGTGTTGAATGGGCAGGCGCCGCGGGGACGGCGGCTGTTGCGCGCGCCGGGCGAGGCGGCCGGACGGAAGGGACGGCTCGCTGGCTCCGCCGCGCGGCTCTGGCATGTTGCGGCGGCGGTTTTTCTGAAGGTCGCCCGGAGGGTCTGAGGAGGACGGTCCATCGGCTTGGCGCCGATCATCTGACCGATGGAGTACGCGAATAGGCTGCTGAAGGGCGCAGGCCACGTGTTGATTCAGATTCACGTGTTGATTCAGGCCTGGCGACATTGACTGCCTATCAACCATTTTTATTCAGATTCCCAGCGTGTGAGGACGACATCCATCACCCGAATGACCGCTATCGTCGGCATCAATACCTTGGTGGTAGACGAAAGCACATTAAAGCTCCATACATGACTCGGCAGCTGGCGTCCATTTCCAAATCTCGGCGCAGGGGACATCAGCGGTGCTCATCTGGACTCGTCCGGAAAATGGCCTCCAGTCGCGATCGTGGAGATGGAATACACTCACTGGGTTAGCTCGGTCGCTTGGGCCCGCGGCCAGTTCATGGCCATGACCTTTCTTGACCCGTGACCGAGGATTGGCCGCCTCTCACCATGTCTGCCAAAAGGCCTCTGTCCAGTCCGGTTACCCCTGATAGTGGCATGCTATGCAGTTGGTAAACTCCTTGGTTATCTCATACCATATATTTTTGCCTTGGAGTCCCAGCAGATAGCCCTCTCGCGGCGACAGAGAGATACGCCCGAGATACGCCTCTCCCTGGAAATCCACGGCGACCGATCCTCGCGCCCGTCGCCCTTCTCCCGCACCCGTGCAACGCCGCACTTGGCCGGTGCCAGTCGGCGAGACGGCGGCGCCAGCAATGGAAACTGCGCGCTCCACCCTGCCCTCCCCTCCCTCGCCAGTGTCCGAGCGCCGCCGCCGCCGCCGCCGCTGCTGCCGTATTTGGCCGGCGGAGCGGGGACGTCCAGCGCGCGCGTGACCCCCGCTCGCGGTCAAGCAGTCCCGAGCACGCTCGCTCGCCATGAATGAGCACAGTGCACAGCTCCGCACGAGCGACCTTGCGGCGGCGGCGGCGGCGGCGGCAGCGACGGCGGCGGCGGAGGCGGTGACGAGTCGCTCAGCGGCGCGCGGCGCGGTCCGCCCTAACGCCCGCTGTGACGTCGCGGCGGGAGTCGGCTGCCGGGCCCATGTTTGGGCCGGCGCCGGCTCGTCACGCACTTCGGGCCGGCGGGCCCCGCGAGCGCGCCGAACCGGTCCTGCGGCGCCACTGTGCCGTGCCCGGCGGCGGGCCGACTCGAAATAGAGCCATACGCCTTAACGCCTTCCTGCACGCCAGCTGGGGTTTGGGCTGGTCATGGAGTTCGCGCCTGGTGTGTGCAGGGTGTGGGGAACCACGTGCACTTGCATTCATGACTCCATCTATCATGGAATGACACCCGTTGATGATTAGATCACAACCAGAACCGAAATGATAACATCGTGAATGCAAGGCTTCCTGAGGGGATCCTGCTGTGACCTGTTGCCAGCGAAGCCTACCTTAGCTTCCTGTTGGCGACCATGACCCCGATCCGGTGTTAAGTTAGCGCGCCGGCGCGTGCGTGTGCAGGTGCACGCGCAGGTGTGTGCGTCGACACATGTGCGGCGTGCGGCCGCGGGGTAGGCAGCGCTGACACAGGCCGGCCGGGTGGGCCGCGCTCGCTCATTAGCGGCGCCCTGACGCGCGGCGCCGGGAGAAGTCTGGCATCATCAGACCCCGCCCACGGCGGAGGGTGCCGGCGCCGACACAGGAGGACGCCGCTCATGACTCAGACGCGGCCGCCCCGGGCGCGGCGCACGGCGGGTGGGACCGAGCGGTTCCTTGTCTCGCCACCTGAATCACTATCGTTCGCCCCTTGAATCATGGTTTCCTCTCCCCTGAATCATTAACTGTTGGCCTTTGAATCATGGGGTCTTCTCTTCACCTTTGAATCATGTTCTCTGTGCTGAATCACAGTCCTTTTGCTAAATCGTCTTCACCCCTGTATTTCCGCGCAGTTCTCTTGTTACCCGCGGTCCATCATTGCGTGGGTCATTCTCAGGTCCACACGGCTGGCCTCGGGGGGGAGGGGGGGGGGGCTCTAAATGGAACCGCCAGGCCCCGGATGCACCAGTCTAGACTACACATCCCCGTAACGTCTCCACGAATCCTCGAGGCGCGTCCGCGCGCGCCGAACGGCGGCCCCGCCTGCCCGCGCCCCCGGACACCGGCCGGCCGACCGCGCGCTCGCCGTCGGCGGCCACCTGTCGGCGGCTGCCGGGCGGGCCGTGTGGGCGGCCCGAGTACGCCGGGGCAGGGCGGAGGTCGCTCGGTCGGCCTTGCGACCCACGCGCTGCGCCGGCCGGAGACGGCCGGTCTCGGCCGGGCCGGGCGGCGGCCGGGGCTGGCGGGGCACACCTGGTGACCGCCGACGGCTCCCACCACGCCAGCCCCAGCCCAGCCTGCGGCGGAGGGGTTGGGACGGGGCTCGAGGGAAGAGAAGGGTGCAGCTGTGGAGGTCCAGAGGCGTATCTCGGCAGGGAAGTGCGGTTAGCCTTGGACGAAGCCCACAGCAGCGGGCTGTATCCACCCCGCTCTTCTCACACTCGATGTTTTGTCCTGAATCCTCGCACGGCACGCCCCTCCAGGGGATGCGGCTATCAGCCTTGAGCTGGCTAAGTGCCCAGCCCCGGCAGGAGCCCCGCCCGAGCGCTCGCACAAGCCTCAAGCAGGGCTCCCAGTGCGGGGTGAGACTCGCTAACCGAGATCTCTCATAATGGCCGCGGTATCTGCCTCACCACGCACCTCTCTCGATGGCCAGCGCTGGCTGCAAGGGCTCTGATCCGGGCCAATCCCGGCTCTGATCCCGGCTCTGATCCCGGCTCTGATCCCGGTCAAACCGAACAGCGAGCGTCCTTCAGCTTGTAAGCGGAACTGCTAGCATACAATGATGGCAAGCTGGTTACAGAACAGGACCGGCCATTGAACCGTTAACCCGTCCTTTCGAGACGATTCTTACGGTCCGGTTGAACTGCAGCGCCCAGGGCGAGCGCCTGTGTTTAAAGTAGCCGTGTTCTGCGAGGGCGAAACTGGTTTATCGTGCGCTATGCCCTTGATGGGCCTGCAACCTAGCCACATTCATAGGGCTTTCATTTATTTTATCATTTGAACACCGCATGCGTGCCGGTCACACTGGTTAGTGGGCCGCAGAAGCAGACAGCGCCGCTGACAAGTAAAGATGGCCTGCCAGCGACTCCATTTGTGATCCATTTGCTGTCGATCAATTGCGAACCCGCAGAGACACTCTCTGGACGTTTACGAGCCTCATTAGCACAGCTTGACGACTTGATGACCTGTTTCTCGGTCGGCGCCAGCTGCGGAACATTTCCAACGAAATGACGACTCGTGAACGGTTTTATTGTGGGCTGCCCTTGTTTTGGGGCTTTATGTATCCGCTAACAACCGAAGTACCATGCGGAAATTATTTTTTCCGATAATCATGGCCACGATGCCTAACAACGGAAACAGTTGGCACTGCCATTTCGAAAGTCTGACGTTATGGTAACTACGGTACTGAGGATGTAGGTACAGTCCGAAGTGGTGGACCGCGCCGATTCATGCGCTCACGATTCGCGCCCAGGGTGCGGTCCCGCCCCGACTGTTACCTCGCCGCGCAGTCGACTTTGCGATGAGGTGCTCGGCTCCCGGCGCGGCGTTCCCTGCGATCATGACGGCACCGCGTCCTCGGTCCTGCTCACACGCGGCCACCGAAAGTGCCGCAGCCCGCCGCCGCCGCGTTCCGAGCCAATCCGCCAGATCTGCGCGCAGGCCCGGCGGGCCGGCGCGCAGCACGTGCCACGCAATCAGCCGATCCCCCGATTCCGGAGAGTCGTGCGCGAATCCGGACGGTACCGATCACGCCTTTGTGCGATAGACAAGCCCTCGGGGGCGTCGCAGGGCCCCCGACCGCCGGAGGAGGCTGCGGCGGCGTTGTTTTGGTGCCAGTTGGTCGCGGCGGCCCGCTGCAGCCATGACGTCACCCGGTCGTGTGCTGCCCTCTTGTATTCAGAGCCGATGCGTGCGCCGGGCAGCGTGGGTCGAGCTGTCGGCGCCAGCTGACGTCACCACGTCCGCCCACCGCCGATAATTGATTAGGAATTTAGTCGATACTCTGGATGTGGCAGTGATTATTGGCGAAACGGATAGATGGGAGGGATAGCGCGCTGGTGGAGGCGTGCGGACGCCGGGAGAGGCCCGGGCCGTTCGGTCATTAGGGCAGACGTGACGCCCCCGCTACGGTGGGCGGCCGGCCGCTTCCCTGCGGAGCACCAGCGTCCCACACAGACGTCACATGACGACCCAGCCGCGCGACGGCGGGCACGTCGCGTGAGAGCATGACGGCGTGACGGCGTGACGATGACGGGTGTGACAAGACCGCGCCGGGTGCGCGGCGGCCCCCGATGCCGATGTGATGGTATCTCAAGGGCCGGGGGGGGGGGGGGGGGGGCAGCCGCGGTAGTGGTCGAGTCGTGAGACGACTCCCGACGCGCGATTGGAGGCCCGATCACGAGGTCGGGACAGGTGTGTGTATGTGTGGTGGAGGGGGGGGGGGGGGGGAGGGCGCTGTCACGCGCTGCGGAAGGAAGCTCTCTGGCATTGGAATGTGGAACGGTAGGTAGCGCAGTCGGTCGATGATGCGGTCGGTGGTTAGTTGGAGACAATTATACTGGTGCGGGTAGAATTTCGACGCAGCAGCTCCACACGCGGCCTCTTCATCTCTTCTTACCACGCTCCATAATCGCCTGTGCCCACCGTATTTCATGTTCGCAACCGTGGCGTCGTTCGGCGTGTTTATGGGCGTGTGCTTACTTGCGTGATTGTGCGCCCTCCAATTGTCGCTTTGCTACGTGCTCTCGTAGACAGCCATACACGACCTTAAAAGAGCACCAAATTCACGGTGGGTGTGTTCACGCAGCGCATGGGTTTATCTTGCGTGGACACTCGTGAGCCGTCCGCGTTCATCGCACAGTGAACGACAGTGAGTGATCGCCGCCGCCTGCCGGCCGGCCTGTTCTGGAGCTGTGCGGCCGTGTTTCAGATGTCGACACGCCGGACCCGGACGACAAGTCGGTGCTGACCTACGTCAGCTCGCTGTACGACGTGTTCCCGCAGCCGCCGGCCGAGCACCCCCTGTTCGACGGGGTGAGTATCGGGGCTCGGGCGGGCTGCAGGGACCCTTACCGCAGTCACGGGGCGTGTTTCAGCCTGGTAGTCTTGAGTACCTGCAGTTGGAGGGTCGCGGCCGACAGCGTCTGCTGAGTGCCGGCCACAGGCGTCCTCCGGGCGGCGGCCCAGGACAGACACGGCCCAAGACCCCCTCTCTCGTGGACTGGACATCCCGTGCCCGAGCGAGACGCCGTCGCATGGGCGTCATATGACCAGCGTAGTCGGTGTGCCCCAAAGCCCAAGTCATCATCGAGACGCCGTCGCGTAATAACATGCGTATGTGTGCGCAGGGAATACGGCTGGACCCTGAACTGAGATCATCCGCGTATTCTCGTTATCTGGTCGTATCTAATTGACGTGATCCGCTTAGAGGCAGGGTGACATTGTCTCTTCTGTGCGTGTCTCTGCACCCGCTGTCATACTTTCATACCTGACGTAAGCAACGAGCCTTGGCCCAAGACCCAGAGATTCGGGGATAACGCTTCGTGTCTCCCCGACCGGGCGGGCAGAGACCCCCGCCTGTGGCTGGGGTTACACGTGTTCGCCTCGTCCGGAGACAGAGGAGCCAGACACGCCGCCGACACCGGGACCTGTCTGCTCGGGACGGATCGGGACAGCGAGGACAGGAGGCGGCCGCTGACAGGAACATCGTCCCTGTCCCGGCGCGCCGTTAACATAACACGCCGACGCCCGCTCCCGCCATGTGGGGATGGCGCCGGCGGAGGCTCTCGGCGCCGTGAACTGCGAGACGCTGTCATTTCCACCCGCGGAGAGGGTAGGGCGAGGGAGCTCACGCGCCGGGCGTCCGCTCCGCCGCGCCGGAGAATAGTCGGTCCGCAGGGACATCAGGGACGTGCCAGCGTGTGCCAGGACGCCGCCAGATGCCGTCGGTTGGTCTGGCGCGACGGCGAACGGCGAAGCCTGTCGTTTGGCGATGCGCGGCCGCCGGGACAGCGGCGTCCTCGCGCCGTTCGGTGCACCGCCCGAAAACCGGTCGCCCGATACATATCTGGGACACCAGGGCGTCTGTTGGCATGACGTTTGGACGTTTGGAGTGCTGGCCGCACACTGACGGGCGTGGAGCGCTCGCTAATTGGTATGCGCTCGGCCGGGAGATGACGCCCTCGTGTCTCCCGCCCGACCGCCAGCTGCGCGTGCTGGTGGCGCTCGTGACTGGGACGGCGGCGCCTGCTCCGACGGCTCGTCGGTCACGCGTGGTCCCTCCCTCCCCGGAGGCGCTTTAGAGGCGGGGTGGTGTGGGAGGAGGGTGTGAGGGGTGGGGGTGGTGTGTACAACTGGGGCTCCATGGGTTTCGGACACAGGTTGCTTGCAAGAAAAACAATGTCTGGCGCCGTGCACCACCATGGGTGTGGCGCTTGTTTCTCCCAGCGACGGGCTCCCGCGGGTGAACTGCATGTGCGACGAACCCGCGCACGCAGTGGTGTGGTCGGATCCACCAGCCACCAGAATCAGTGGGATCCCAGTGCGCCCCAGAATCATTCATCCGCTCGGTACGCCGCGGGGGACCTTGCGCGCTTCTCACCCTCGTCTTGTTCAGACTTCAGTGCCCTGCTCTGTTCCGTCGCCGCACCCCTGGCCACGCTCTGCGCGGTTCGGCTAGTCCTCGCCGTCGGGTGACGCCGGCTCACGACTTGCGTGCCGGAGAATGGGCGAATGCCGGCGGCTGTTGCTGGTGTGAGTGGGTCCCACTGGTGCGAGACGGTGAATCTCATGCGTTTGGGGGCCGACAGATGGAGTGGTGACAGGACCCGGCTCCTCCGCCGGCTGATCAGGATGGGTGAAGAGTCGGGACCTTCCGAGTCATGTGACCTGGGCAGCTCGTTAGCCAGATGATCGTGTTCGCTGATGGAAGGGACAGTGGCCCTGTCCTCGACATGGTCTGCTGGCTCAGACCGCGGATTCTGGCCGATGAGTGGACGCGGTGACCCCACGTGACACGTTTTTTACCCCGTCATTTAGACGTCCGGTCTGATCGGGCACGGCACTCCGTCTGAGGCTGGCGGCTCCTCGCACCAGATCAGTCACCTGACCTGGCTCGATTCGACCAGCAACTCTGGCGGTGATGTGATCTGGCTAATGTGCCCCATGTGCCCCATGTGACCCATATGGTCCACGTGACCGATATGTCCCATGTGACTGAATAGTACCCGCCCCGACCGACCCGGTGTGTGAACCGACCCCGCCTCCAGCCAGCCTCCCCGGCGGAAGGGCCGGCCACCGGTCCGGCCCTTCCGCAGTCGGTAACCCCACCCTACCCTGCCAGCCCCCTGATCGGACCCGCCGCCGACCGAACCACGCCGGCGGCCTTGCCGGCGTCTGACTCTGCCATTTGGCTGACACTGGCCTTCATCAATGGCGCGGCCCTGCCCTGCCTCAAGCCGGCGGCGCCAGCCTTTGACCTGACCCCTGACATGGCCCGGGATCTCACGCCGCACTTAACCCCTTATCCATGACCTGACCTAATCTGACCCCTGACCTGAACCTGACCCAGCCCCGGAACAGATCGCTGACGTCATCCTGACCTGACCGCACCCATAACCGCACCCGCGAGCAGACCCACGACCTGATCCCAAACGTGACTCCCACACTGACCTCTGACCTGCCCCCTGACCTGACCGCACCGGTGACGCGTCCGCTGCCCCGCCGCAGGAGGCGCAGCGCGTGCAGTCCGAGTACCGGGAGAGCGCCTCGCGGCTGAACCAGTGGCTGCGGCAGCAGACGGCCCGGCTGCAGGACCGCAGCCTGCCCGCCTCGCTGGTGGAGCTGCGCCACCTGCTCACCGAGACCAAGATGTTCCGCACGCACGACGTGCCGCCCCGGCAAAACGAGCTTCGCCGGCTCACCGCCGCCTACCAGCAGCTCGAGGTGAGCTCGCGCGCGAGGCAGGGACCAGCCAGCCGGCGTACTGCGTTTATAGATGCTCGAGCTGTTTGAGTGGCTGGCTTGGTGTCGCCTTGCCACGCGAATGGTGTTTTGTATTCATTTTTATATTGTTTTTTTTCTTGCTCTTTTGTGTTATGTTTTTGTCTTCTATTTTTGTACTTTTTTTGTCATGTTAGTCATATTGTGATAGTCATGTTGTGTTCTCTTTGACGCCAAACATTTGTAATTCTCTTAAACCTTAAATCGTACTGAGTCTTAAAACGTCTCTGAGCACCCCAAAACAGCTGTTTGCAATAGTTCCGGATCTCTCACTCTGAGCAGCTCTGAATCTTTGCTCAGCGTCCCACCGCCACCGGGTGAGTCCACGGTGCGCCGCCGGCTCGTCTTCTCCGGATATGCGGCAGCCGCGTCGGCCATGAACTTGTCTCGGACCGCGTCGGCCGCGGGATTAGCCGGTGGCGCTGCCTGGTGCCGACGCTCCGATTTAAAATGGAAGACTATGCATGCAAATCAGCGGAGGTCGGACCGCTGCAGATGTTCCCAAGGCTATCACTTCTGATCTCAGCCGGCGCCGGGAATAACTTATGTGCACAATCCCGTGGACCTTATTCATATCGCGTCCATGGGGGTATTTAGATTGCCCTGCTTCCATGATTTATACCGATCGCTCACGCCGTGCAACCGCGGGCGACCTTTGGAGCGCCCTGAAGGCGCTGGAGCGCGGAGGACCGTTGTCCCTTGTTTCGCTGCCCGCCGCCGGGGACGTGCGTCGAGCCGTGAGGGACGAGCGTGCTCTGTGGAGCCTGCGGCGTGCCTTGGTTCGTGGCCTCACACGCGGCGCGTGCTCAGGCATAGGGCGTCGCTTTCTCGGGCGGCTGCGGGCCGCGTCGGCCGTGTGGGCTCGCCGAAGGAGGACGGCGGAGAGACCGCATTGTTGTGCTCGCCTGGGGTCAAGGTCGGGTGACGGGGTGGCGGCGTTCCGGGCGCAAACCCGGCCGGATGTGCAGCCTTCACAACAGCGGAATCGTGCGCGTTCGGTGGGACCGGTGGCCGCGCTTAACCGCTCCAGTTTGTTGATGTTCAGGGGATGGAAGCTGGAGGGTTTCGTTGCCAATGTCTTTCGAGGTCTGCACGTTTACGCGATGTTTCGGAGCTCAGCTGGCGGATAAATATGCTCCGCTGACGCGGCGGAGGCGGGGGTCCACGTGAAATATTGGGACGTTTGTAAGCTGTCGACTCGAGTGGGCGAGGACATTGTAAACTCCGGCTATTTGAGGCCGTCCTACTCCGGGCTCTTGGCTGTTTGGCGAAAGTTCTGAATGTTGGCGATCTGTCCTAATCACTGTTTAGAGTCTACAAGGTTTTCTATTGGGGCGTGGTGCGGTCTGCGAATGTGATAGATAAATGGGCGGTTAACTTATTTGTCAGTGGCCTTTTATCATAACATCTTAATGGGAGTTGTTATTGACTGAGATCGAGTGCGTCGATTCAAAACGTCGTCTTGGGAATGCATAGATCATTGAGCATCCCTCGCCTTTTGATCGGCCGGCGTTGTGCCGTGGTGTTTGTTTTTGTGGAAAGCTTTCCTCAATCAACGGTTTCTAGATAAAAAGGGACTCGAAACACAATTGAAGAATATTCCAGAACAACAGCAAACAATATCGCAGAGTTTTTGTGTGTATGATATCATCTTTTGATCCCCGTCACGTAGTTTGCCCATCGGCTGTGCGGCTCCCCATAGATCGGCCGCCCTACTGTTACGAACAACCCGGTGTTCTTGCCAGCTAACACTGACAGTCGCGTGTTTCCGACTGAGGGTCCTGCCCCCAATTATTCGCCGGCCGTCAGCCGCGCCGCCGGTGCCGGCCGGGCTCAGCTCTGGCCGTAAGTGAATGTGGCGGGCGCACGCGGCATGGGCGCACCCTGAATTATGTATGGCGCCGCGGGCACCTCCGCCCCGCAGATGCTGTTTGTTTTGAGCTGGCTATATCGGGAGGCCAGGGAGGCTGCGACCGGCGGTCGCCTCGCCGAGTGAGTTGTAGATGCAATCAGCTCCTCGAATGGACCGCGCGCGGGATTGAGAGGGAGAGAGGGCCACAAGTCGAGAACGAGGTGCCGAGGAGGGTTGGACCGGAGGCGGCAGGGCGTTTGTTTGTCGGTGGGGATCGTAGCGATGGGGGTGGGCGCGTGCGGATGATAGTCTGTCGGTAGTGACGCAATCAAAGGCGTGGCCCATAGGGCCGGCCACCGCGATCTTAGTAGGAGATAGCGTAATGGTGTGGGTGCTGCTTAAAGCAGGCACTCCCTTTCTTCTCGATAAGGCAATGTGTTCGGAAGCATCGGAACCCGGATTTTTGATTAGGATAATTGGCTGGTGCTGATTACTAGGAAAATTTTCGGAAGGTCAGGCCTGCCCACTACACCGAGTTTTAGCCAGGTACTACGAGCAAACGCGCAATTTAAATGTCAGTGATGACTGAGTGATTTCGTATGCGAGGCCGGGTACACGTGAGTGCTGATTGATATGAAACCGACGCATGTGTGACAATGGGCCGTTAAAGCGTCGATTTATCTGCGCTCCTGTCATTTTGTCGGAAAAAGAGCTTTGTGTTTCCGTCAGTTATGGCACAGGCGGGTTCGGTTGTGGCCATAGCCACCAATGACAACGTGCAATTCGGCATTTACGGGACACGCTGGAGGTCAACGCGGGAATACATCCGACAGCCTTGGTCGTGCGAGCACCTCCATCACGCAAACCCTGCTCTTTCGGTCCAATCTATCACGAGCGGAGCCCGCCGTTGTCCCACAAACCACGCCTCAACAAAGATCTCGCCATGGCGGCAACAAGACTGCCAGACAAACCGCGCCATTATTTCGGTCTGACGGGTCCACCACGATTTTTGGCCGCCACACGCATTTCTCCATCACGCAAACGCCGCTCTCACGCAAACCTCCACACAAACCCTCGCAGATCCCTCCACGTAAAACCCCCTCACACAAAATCCTTCGTGCGAACCCCTCGCAAACCGCTCGCAAACCCCTCGCAGACCCCTCCACATAAACCCCCGCGAACCCTTACACGCAAACTTCTCTATCCCCTTCATGCGAACTCCTCCACGCAAACCCCCTCCGCACAAACATCAACAAACAGACATCAACTATTAAAAACAACAAACAGCCATCGCCATCGCAATGCACGCCATCACGCTGACCGCTCCTTCAGACAAACCCCGCGACGGCACGAGACCTCCATCGGGGCCTCATCACCGCATCTCGACTGTCGTTTCAGCGTCCGCGCCCGGACCTGGGCCAGGCGGAGCTGGAGCCGGAGCTGCACGGGCCGGCGCTGGAGCGCAGCTGGGCGCTGATGCTGCAGGCGCTGCAGGAGCGGCAGCAGGCGATCGACGATGAGATCAACGCAATGGAGCGGCTGCAGCGGCTCGCCGAGAAGGTGAGGACGGCGGAGACCGTGGCACCGCGGCGGCTGTCGGCTGGGAGGGGGGACGGTGGAGGCCGGGGCGCGGCGGCGGCTGTCGGCTGGGAGGGGGGGACGGTAGAGATCGGGGCGCCGCGGCGGCTGTCGGCTGGGAGGGGGGACGGTAGAGACCGAGGCGCCGCGGCGGCTGTCGGCTGGAAGGGGGGGGGGCGGTAGAGACCGGGGCGCCGCGGCGGCTGTCGGCTGGAGGGAGGACGGTGGAGACCGGGGCGCCGCGGCGGCTGTCGGCTGGAAGGGGGGGGGGGGGGCGGTAGAGACCGGGGCGCCGCGGCGGATGTCCGCTGGGAGGAGGACGGCGAGGGTTCGACAGGTGATGGGCGGGACTGGAGCGTCGCGTTTGAGTGCTCTTTATAGAGACAGGTTGATGGGAATCGACTGGGATTACGCCAGATCTCGCGACCGCGACGCTAAAAGCCTGATGGCTCGAGCCGGATCGTGGGCCCAGGATTGCTATCGCCGCTGCCGGATCCTCTGTCATTCCAGGAATGTAATCCCACTCGCTCGTCACTCGCCGCCGATACTCGCGGAGCGGTAACTTGCCGACGCTTCTCCGCTATCCCGTAGCGCCGCGCCTGTGACTTGGCGTCTGTGGCGTCGTCTTTGGCGTCAGTGACTGGTCGGTGCTTCTCCACTATCTCTGCGAGAGAGAGCCGTGCCGGTCTGGCGTCGGGTGATGACCGACCGCGGTGACCTGACCTTGACACCCGCCCGCGCCCCGCCAGGTGATGCGGGAGACGAGAGCGACCGACCGGCGCCTGGACGGCGTCGAGCAGCGAATCCGAGACGAGGCGAAGCGGTCGGCCCGCCTGACGCCGGCCGAGGTGAAGCAGAACTGCGAGAAGGTGAGCCGCCTGCGAGCCGCCGCCCTCGGCACTGACGCGGAAGGCCGCCATCGCCAGCATGAGATGCCTGCCCGGTGCAGTCCGTCGTCCTCATCGTCCTTGTCAGTCCTGCTGATTTGCCTCTCTTCTCTGATACTTGCGTTTTCAGGAAGGTAAGAAATTGTGCTGCACGCGCGATTGCAAAGCGTTGGGGCAGCTGGTGATGTGCGGAAGATGCAGCGTTCGTGCAAAAGAAGACTGTAAGTGGTGCAGAAGAAAGCTGTTATTCGTGCAGAAACACCCAGTGAGCTAGTTAGCCGGCCATTGTCTCGACAGGAGTATTCATATAGGGACTGCATCATGCAGTCTGTGTACAGCGCTAGACGCCAGCGCGGGCTAGCGGAGACCGGACAGGGACGCGTGCCGTAGTCAGTAAGCTGTGAAGCTAACATCTGTGTACCGCCGCGGACACTGCCAACCGCTCCCGTCAGCGCGTGGTAAAACGGGCCGCCGAGTTACGCGGTAGAAGCGAGCAGCTGTACATGTCAGCTAGCGGAAGCCCCCGCCTTTGTCTCAGTCGCATTACGCCGGACAATGGCCTCCGATGTCTGCAGCCGTCAGCGGGTGCGACGGCTGACCTCCGTCAGTCGGCGGTGCGTGCGCGAGCCGACCTCGGGCTCCCACCGGCGGCCGGTGATAACCGTGACCAGGCGCCAGCACCCAGCGCCGAATCAGACCTCTAAATCAGCGGCGCGAGCGTGACGGCACCGGCGCGGCAGCGGACGGCGCCATTTACGCGGGATCACCGCCGGCCGGTGCTGCGCGGCCGGTGCTAAACGGCCGCTGCGGGCGGCGCCCGCCGGCCTTTTTCGCACGGCCGGCCCGACCGCGCCGGCCCCACCCCTGACCGGGCGGCCACTGCGGCGGTGGCGGCGCGACCGAACGGGCCGCGGTCACGAGTGCCGCGCCGGCCGCGTGTGGCCGACGGCACCGGCGGCCGCGGCTGCACTCGCCCGTCGGCTGGCACACAATCTGCTGTGACGGACGCGGCGTGTGCCGCTGTGCGCGGAGGAGGGCGCGCTGTGATGAGCGACGGGTGCTGTGTTGGGCGGCGGACGTGGTGGCCAATGGTGACGTGCCTTACGGGAAGGTGGAACGAAGTGGCCAAGCTCACTAGGATGGTACATTGCGAGCGGTTGCCGCATGTCGCGGTGTGTTAGGCGAAGGGCGTTGAGCTGAGAGGCCGAGTAAGGGACGACGGTGGACGTGGGTCAGCGGCCACCATGAACTCCTGGCAAGAGGTGAGCGCGCTCCACCGTCGATCGTGTTCTCGGCACGCACCCGCGCCTCTCAGGCCGTGTCGACCCGTCGCGTGACCTGTCTCATGGCCTCCCCGGGCTGACGCGTCATCCTTCCGGCCTCCCGACTTGATCCTTGGCTGAGTTTTACGATCCGGTCCAGCTCGGCGCTCGACCCGGCCGGCTGCGTCCGTCCTCCAGCCGGACACGTACGCGCTTAACTGCCGTCGACGACGACAATTGCTGGGCGATGCCTCACATTGAGACGGGCCGCGTCGGCGGACGGCCCCGCCCGGCTCTCGGCGGCGGCGTCCTGGCTCGTGACGCCGGCACGCCGTCCGGTCGGCGAGGCCGCCGGGGGGTCGGTCCGGCTGGTGTGACAGTGACCCGGAGCGCCGACCGGGGTCAGGCGAGGGAGGGGCGCGGCGCCGGCACGCCGTGCGGTCGGCGAGGCCGCCGGGGCCGGTCCAGCTGGTGTGACAGTGACCCGGAGCGCCGACCGGGGTCAGGCGAGGGAGGGGCGTGATGCCGGCACGCCGTGCGGTCGGCGAGGCCGCCGGGGCCGGTCCAGCTGGTGTGACAGTGACCCGGAGCGCCGACCCGCGATCAGGAGAGGGAGGGGCGCCGCGGAGTGACGCCGGGTGTGATGCATGGCTCGGGCGCTGTCAAAGCAGCGGTGGTTTAGTGGCAGCGGCGCCCGCAGAGGGGTTGATTATTCTTGAGAGTGTAAACCGATGTCAATCCGCTCCCGCATGCATGGCCGGGCTCGGCGGCGCAGGGCCGGGCGTGAGCCGAGTTCGATGAGGGGATTAGGCGTGTCTGGCCGGCGGCGGCTGCTGTCGAGAGACTTGTCTGACCTTTCCGAAGTCGCGCGCCCGGTGTTCGGCAGCCGGTTGCCCCGAGGCGAGTTCACACTCTGGCGACGCTGACGCGTGGGCTGTCGCAGATTGGGTGACCTCATGGCTCAGTGATGGCTTGGGAGGCTGGGACGGTGAGAATACGAGATTTAGGCACACGCCTATGTGTCGTGGCCGCTCGCCTAGTCTCACTCCTTGTCATGCATGTCGCCGCCACGTCGAATTGACGATTGATGCTCTTGTGGCGCGTCACCGTCCCACTGGCCTTCTCTCTCACGGACGCATGCCGACGCCACCCTCCCTCGGTGTTGCCTCCTGGACGCGCGGCTCCTCTCCCACACAGATCACCCTACATTGCCGTCTAACGCCCCGTTCTCCTGCCGCAGATCGACCACGAGTTAGTGCAGATCGAGGAGACGATCAAGTCGCTGTTCTCGGACGTGAACACGCTGCAGGAGGGCCGGCAGCCGCAGGCGCCCGAGCTCTACCGCGGCGTCCAGCAGCTGCACGACAAGTGGATGACCGTGCACACCACGATGCAGGTGCGCTTGCTGCCCCGCTGCGCGGCGAGCCGCGGCCGACCGTGGCGCCGGGCGTCACGTGGGGTGGAATGATGGGAGGGGAGGTATAGTCGACACCGTCACGGTGATGGTTAGGGAAATTGATGACGTGGTTTGTCGCGAGAGCGAGCGCGCGGGGAGAGGTGCGCACGTCGAGGCACGCAACTGGAAACATCTTTCATCACCGCACGGCCCGCATGGTACCAACTGACACGCAACGCAAGACGTCGCAATAGATTGCACGTAGCCCGCGTCAACTAGCCGTTAACGCCGCTAACTAAAGGGTCTTGCACACCCACAAAAAGCACGTAGCCCTCAGCGCGGACGAGGGCCAGCCAACGTTCGCAGCGGGTCGTTGCCAGGGGGCGTGCCGCGGCGCACCCGGGCCGTTCTGCCCACCGTCGCCGCGCCACTGACCTGGTCCGCGGCCGCCTCACCCCGGGGTCACCCGCTGCCGGGCGGGCCGGCCGCGGTCCCGGGGCGTGTGCTGGCTGACCCCGGCCGGGTGGAGTGTCGCGGTCAGCCGCCGGGCTCGCTGCCGGTGGCGGTGGGCTGCGGGTGACGGCGCGGATTGGGCTGCGGGACCGCAGACTTCGGAACTGGCGCCGTCAGGGTGGCAGCGGTGGTTTCTTGGTGGCTATTGCAAAGTGACGCCGTCATCTATCATTCCTTATAGCGTGCCCACGTTTGGTTTTTAGAAACATATTTTGGTCCAACGTACACATAGATGCACCATACATTGTTTTTGTCGACCAGATTGAGCTGCCACTTTAACTCCCTTAATGCATCGGAAAAATCTAAACCTAGTGAATTTCGCGCACAGAGGTGGATGCTGTTCCGCGGACCTGCGACTGTAGGCCGCCTTCTCACGACGGCTGAGCCCGTCGCCGGGCGTCCACACCTGCGACCGTTCCGCCTCCTCCGAACTGTCGTGACGGTCGCTGTCTGTGCGGCAGGACACGCTTCTGCTGCCGCTGAGCAAGCGGAGCACCGAGGACCCCGAGACGATGCTGCGGCGGCTGACCGAGACGGACGAGAACTTCCGCTTCCTTCAGGAGTGCCTCGAGTGGGTCAAGGAGAGGCTGGTGAGTGCCCGTGGGAGTGCCTCGAGTAGGTCAAGGAGAGACTGGTGAGTGCCCGGGGAGTGCATCGAGTGGGTCAAGGAAAGGCTGATGAGTGCCCGGGGAGTGCCTCGAGTGGGTCAAGGAAAGGCTGGTGAGTGTCCGTGGGAGTGCCTCGAGTGGGTCAAGGAGAGGCTGGTGAGTGCCTGGGAGCGCCCAGATGGGAGAATGACACGAGCGCTTTGAATATCTTAAGTGGCGGCTGGTGAGTTCCTGTAGGAGTGCCTAAAGAGGAATCACGCAAGAGTGCCTTAAGTGGGGCAATGAAAAGATGGTGAGTCTCCGTGTGAGTGTATGAAGTCGGTCATGATATGAGTGCCGGGAGCGGCTAGGGGGGGGGGGGGTCTGCTGTGTGGGGGGGGGGGGTCTGCTGTGTGGGGGGGGGGGTCACTTTCCAAAAGCGGACCGTGGTCTAGAGTTTTTGTATGGCGTGTTTTTTTGTCACTCTGGCTCTTCGTATCCCCCAGAGTATTTCGTCATATGCTCAACCATTTCCAGCGCGTTGCATTTTCTCTCATCTTTATGCATTTCCCAAGTGGGTCATCTTTGCATGCTCCATCTCCGCCTGCGGCAATATCCCAAGCGCCAGTCCGCGGTCATCCCCGCGGTTATACGGTAACGATTGTCGATACGAGCGGGCCCGCGCCTCGTCTGGCTGTGACGGCCGCGACGCCCCCCGGCGCCGCCGCCGGGATTCCAGCCGGGCGTGCAGCGAACAGCCCGGACCTGTCGCACGTCCCCTCGGCATGACCGACCTCCCCTGGCACCCCGCATTGGACCCGTCCGTGACCCGCGCGTGCGGCTCGGCAGGAACGGATACACGAGGCCGAGTACGGCCACGACCTGCAGACGTGCCAAGAGGAGCTGGACTCGCACCACAAGGAGCACAAGGTCATCGACCAGTTCCAGGTACGCGCCCGTCCTCCCGCCCTGCGCTCTTTTGGCGGGCCGGTCGGCGATGCAGCAGTGGGTCGGCAGTGGCCGCGGTACTGGTGGGCGTCGCCTCGGGGTGGGGGGAACGCCAGGTGTCCGGCTCCCATGATTGACGGGAGCTAAATGGTCAGGCAGTGTACTATAACGGACCTCATAAGGGCTAGGTCTCCAAAAACATTTCCATCGTTCGTTTTGTGAATATGTGGCTGTGGTCGTGGCATGTTCTGAAGCTGATTTTGGCGGCGCGAAGATTTGCAACACCGTTTCGTGTGCCAGACGCCAGTGCTCCAAACGTAGGGGATTTCTTTGCCTCAGCTCCCGTTCGCTCGTAAGGCTGCTCTGGTGCTGGCCCAGCGCGTCTGAAGCGTCCCCCTGCTCCCCAGGTGAACCTGGACCGGTGCGTGGCCGCCAAGAACAACTACGACCACGAGGAGCTGACGCTGTACATGCGGCTGCTGAGCCAGCTGCAGAAGACGTACGCCGACCTGCTGTCCACCTCCAACAAGCGGCTCTCCGACCTGATGATCCTGCACGACTTCATCCAGGGTGCCACCAACGAGCTCATCTGGCTGAACGAGAAGGAGGAGACCGAGGTCAACCGCGACTGGAGCAGCCGCAACCAGGACCTGCGTGAAGTCGAAGCGCACTACGAGGTGAGTGTGGCGGACGGGCGCGCGACCCGGGAGATGGCGCCTGGACGCGACCGGCGGCCGGACCGCTGTCGCTGCTCCCTGGGGCGTGATGGTCAGGTCGGCTGCGGTGGGTGGGAGGGAGGTGCAGCTGTCGGCGCGGGGCTGTGCGGCGAGGGCGGTTACGTTGCCCTGCGGGAAGACCGATGTGTGCTGGCATCCGTGATCTCCGCGGCGGCTGATGCGCCCATGCAGCGTAACTGGGACTCCACTCGAGAGTCGGTCCCGGTGACGTACGTCACAGCTAGTATCTACAAAGCCCATAACCGTCCGCTGTCGGCACCAGCGCCTCCTGCGGCCGGTTCTGAGCCCCCCCCCCCCCTCCCCGTCCGTGACGGGTCGGCCCCTGCCGGCGGATTGAGTCGGTAGTAGGTGCGCGGTTTTCTCGGTCAATTGCGGGAGCCCACTGACGCCAAATGCTTGTCCCAATGTGAGGTGTTGCAGTTGAGTAAAGCATCACACAAACTCAAGACACGCCATGTTAACCTATTACTAGCAAATTCCCACTCCAAAACGAGAGCATTGTGTTCAAAATATGCAATGAGGGATTTGGTTATGTGAAGTCAAGCACCGCAAAACTAAATGCCCCTGAGACACTTCACTCCAGGGCGTCGAACCAGTCAGCGCGGACGCGGCTGTCGGCTGTGTTGACCCCGTGGTGTGCGCCTGCGGTCCTCGTAAATCACTGTCGTTGGCAGGCGTCGCACGCACCGACAGCGCGTGAATTGGAGTGCGCGCGGCGGCACGCGAGGGAAATTACAGTGCTGATGTATGAGCGCAGCGGACGCTGGCCGGGCGTCTTGTGTTCTTTTGGCGTAGGCTGGTGGAGTGGGAGTTTTGTCATAGAGCCCGGCATTGCGGACGGGTTCAAGCTGCTGAACGACCCAGAGTCATTTTAGCCCAGTCTGGTACTGAGATGCTGTCCGCATTGGTCGACCGGCCTTCAGTGCCGGGGGTGGTCCGTGCCCAGGAATGCATAGCGTCCCCTCCATACCCCGTCCAGAAGTTGTCCTCGGACAAGGGCTTCATGCGGGCCACCCAACGCGCCATGCACTTTGCTGGTTCGTCGTATGACACCAGCCCGACCTTTTTCGTGACCAGACTGGACTTTCCCAGGGTATACTCGACGACTTAATCCAGCTGTCACCGCCAGCCGAGCGTGATTGCGACAGCGTCGTGCCGTGGTGCCGTTTCTTTCCGCGTTAGCTGCTGCGGTACGGGACGGGGTCGCGGGACCGCCGGTTCTTTAATCGGACTAAGAGCTCGCCGGTGTCCGGTGGTGTTGGATGCCCACATCGCCACCGTCGTCACTTTGTCGTCTAAGTGATTTGGGCTCGCGGTGCAGGCAGAACACAGACAGTCACGGACCCCTTCTGGTGTCGATGCTGCGAGCGTAACGTCGGTCCAATTCCTTTGATCGCTTCAACTAGGATTTCGGGCACGATGTTGCTTAGCCACTGGCAGTTCCGCTCACAAACACACAGCAACGGACACTCGTAATGCGCCTGCTTCAGTTTGGCATTTGCCGGAAGGGCATTTTATGGAACGTTGCATGTTTCTTCTTTTATGTCTGCAGGCACTTGTGGCCCGTATAAAGTGAGTGGGTGGCAGGCTCCCATGCACTTTCGTGTTACGGTAGATGAGGTCCGCGTTGTGCATGACTTATTTGTTGCCTGACTGTATCTTCCATGTCAGAAACCACGGACGGTCGTTGTACGATATGATTGTGGTTTTTTTCTTTTTTAGTGCTCCCCAATTATTGCCGTGCATGTCCCGGTACGGCTCGCCATGGGCTCTGTGTTAACGCACCCTTCCTCCGTTACATAACTCGATGCGGGATGGGACGGGAAGTAATCTTGAGTCGTCTGAGCGGAGTGAACGTCATTTTAACGACACGTGTCCCCCGTTACAGCACCTGATGGGCGAGCTAGAGCGGCGCGAGCGTCAGTTTAACGCCGTCCAGGACCAGGGTGGCTCGCTGGTGTCGCAGCACCACCCGGCGGCGCAGACGGTGGAGGCCTACCTGGCCGCCATGCAGACCCAGTGGTCCTGGCTGCTCCAGCTCACGCTCTGCCTGGAGACGCACCTCAAGCACGCGCAGGTCTCGCGCAAGCTCTTCCAGGACGTCGACAAGATGGCGCACGTCATCAACGAGTGAGTGGCGCCGGGATGAAGCGTGCTGGTGTGGCGGTCGAGAACCCCACAAATGTCATTCACTGAACAAATGTTTAGCTAGCGAAATGTTCCAGCCACACTTGCCGTCGTGCCTAGCGACACTTGTATCCCTTTAGCGACACAAGTGTCGCCGGAGGGCCAAACATCCGTCTTCGGCCTATTGCGCCGCGGGCTACCGCCCATCTGATCTGCTGCTTCCATCTCCCGCCCTCAGGCAAGACGACCGACTGAATGCAGAATTCAGCCAGACCGACTTCGGGCTGGACGAGGGCGAGCAGCTGCTGCGCGACATGCAGGAGCTGCGCGACCAGATGACGCAGCAGTCGGAGGCCATCGAGGCGCTGGAGCACCGCGCGCACCAGCTGACGCCGCAGCGCCAGCGCCGCGACCCTGCCAGCGTCTCCGGCACCGGCCAGCTCACCTGCATCTGCAACTACAAGAGTGCCAATGTGAGCGGGCGGCGGGGAGACGGCGGGGAATGGGCCGCCACGTAGGCCATGTGGCAGTGGGGTTAAGCGCGTGGCGTCGCAGTGCGAGCGGGCGTCTGAATGGTGGGCTGAGGGCGGCGTTGGAAGGGCGGTAGGGTGCCCGCAGCATTTCTGTGCATGACCCGATGAAGCACGCTGTTCAGACTGGGATCGCGGCGGAACGCGACGTTAGCGCTGGAGAATCAGCCTAAACGTGCATGGGGGTGAATTGTCCTGCTTAGTGGGAGACTCAACCGGAAATGGAGTATTAGATGAGACTTCTTTCAGCGAACACCTGGACATGCGCACGCAGCACGCGCTATGTCGCTGTTTCCGCCCAGGTATTTCACACCGATGCCCATCATACCTGCCGTTCGTACCCCCCAGGGGTTGTCTCGCAGCTCAGGCCTCTCGGCATGCAGTGACCTGGCCGCCTCCGTTCCACAGATGTCGATCCGCAAGCAGGAGCGGTGCACGCTGGTGGACGGCAGCCAGCGCTTCAAGTGGGTGGTGCGCTCCTCGGGCGGCCAGGAGGGCGAGGTGCCCAGCGTCTGCTTCCTGTTGCCGCCGCCCGACCAGGAGGCAGTCGACGCCGTCGAGAAGCTGAAGCGACAGTACGAGATGTCCATCATGCTGTGGCAGCGCAAGCAACTGCGCATGCGCCAGAACATGATCTTCGCCACCATCAAGGTGGTCAAGAGCTGGGATCTGCAGCAGGTGAGGTGGCTCAGCGGGAAGGACTTCGGCGCACCTCTCGGTGCGCTGGGCGTGCAGGCGTTTGGACGAAATATCTGTTGCCGGACTTGGTCTCTGATGATGTCAATGACGCGTAACAGCTCAGCTCCGCGTCTGGTCAGTCGGCGTGAACGCTGTCTGACGGAATCGGCGAGCAGAGCTCGATTAGCGCTCCCCGTGACCCATTACCCCGCCTTCCCTCCGCGACGTGATCCGACGTATGATTTCACCGGATTGGCAGCAGCGAGATAGGTCTGTGGTGGGGCTCACGTACTAGAGGCGCATTGGCGGCTGATGGTGCCTTCGTGCCGCATCAGTGCTAATGGTGGTGACGGTTATAACCTACCGATGGACGAGCCTCGAATTCATCGAACCTGGCTGCCCTGGGGTTCGGACTAGCCCCATGGTAAGCTGAGTTGACCTGACCTGACCTGACCTGACCTGACCTGACCTGACCTTGTCAGACCTGATATGACCTGATCCGACCTTGTCTGACCCGACCTGACCTGATCTGATTTGACCTGACCTGACCTGACCTGACCTGATCTGACCTGAGCGGCCCCGTCTACAGTTCATGGGTATGGGCAAGGAGCAGCGCGACGCCATCCGTCGCGCGCTGAACGAGGACGCCGGCAAGTTGATCCAGGAGGGCGACCCGAACGACGGTCAGCTGCGCCGACTGCGGCGCGAGATCGACGAGGTCAACGCCCTGTTCGAGGAGTTTGAGCGGCTCGCGGCCGAGGGTGAGGACCGGCGGGGTCTGTGTGCGGAGCGGGAGCGGGTCGGCCGGGGATGGGGTGATGTATTCTGGCGGAGGAGAAATGTATGTTGGATGGTTGCGAGATGAGGATACTTTTGATGGCTTAGGTAGATCAGCTGATCGCGCATCAGACGATTTTTCATGACTTTGAGGTGTGAATAAAATGCTGTCGGTATGGCAGCATTGTTGCTACTTTGCCCCTTGCTTCAGCATCCAGCCCGCTGTTTCATGCAGTCTCCCTCTTATTGTTGATGTATTTGCAGCGGAAGGATGACATGCAATTTTTGCCACATTTTACGTCACGATTCTATGGATGCCACGGCAATGCTACGCCTAGCCAGGGCCAGGCTAGGTGTAGCATTGCCGCGTGCCATCGACGTCATTCTGCCCTCTGATATACCTCGCACCACGGGCGCCCGCTCAGCCTGCTCACCGGCCGCGCTCACCTCTCACCGGCCGCGCTCACTCTCTCACGGCGCCCGACAGCGAGCCCGACGAACCAGTTCAACACCAAGGTGTCGTCGCTGGAGGTGGAGCTGGAGACGGCCGAGCGGCAGCTGGCCGAGCGCTGCAGCGAGGCTATCCCGCGCCGGCCCGACGACCTCGAGCGGCTCGTGGTCGCCCACAAGGAGTGGGAGAACAAGCTGGAGGTGAGCGGCGGGCGCGACGGCAGCAGGCCGCCGCCGGGCTGTCGGGGTCCGGGGCTCGGTCGCGGCTCGTCCTCCCGGGTGGCGCGTGCTGGTCGGCGCTGATGGCTGTTGTAGCACGGAGAGAGCAAGCACACCGTGCTGTCAGATTGCAACGCTCCGGCTCGTTGGTTTGACATTAAGACGGCGCGACTGTTTATTACTTGTTGCTTGGGACATCCATATGAAGAGTTGCAATGCGTATAATAAAGTCGACTTTGTTTGCGCAGTGCACAGTCGAGTGACATATGTGTTGACATTAACATGAAATGATGTCTTCATTCTTATGTTGGCGATGTCTAGCGTGTGCATACCGCAGATAGCTTTGGTGTTGTTTATTTGGGTGTCTTCGTTTGTTAACTGACTTGGCGGTGCTACAGTGCCTTGCTCACTCGGTAAATTCTCACACTCGCCTCCGAAGAATGCAGCTGACAAACCATCGCATATGTGTCGCAGACAATCATAGGTAACTTAGACGATTTACGCCTTTGGTTCTCGGTGACGGGTGCGTTTGGCCGTCTTCCCAGCGTCACGAGCCGACCCTGGAGGAGGTGCAGATGATTTACGACTCCCTCAGCAAGAAGACACCGTCGATGAAGACCAAGCTGGACAACGTCGTCAGCAAATGGGACAACCTCTGGAAAACGTCACACTTATATATTGAGCGGTACGGTTGAACGTAGTTTCTGACCGTGGGGCGTGTTGTACGAAGACTGTCCTTTGAGTAGAATGCTCTTGAGGCTATTTTATGTATGTTTCGGTGTTGACATTGGCTCTGCTCTGGTTCATGCCCTTGGGTGTGCAGTCAAGTATGTCAGCCTGCTGCTCTCCTATTCTTAGCTGTCTCGTTGTCACCATAGTATTCACCTTTATGCTTTCCATGTGTTCGATTATGGTGCATATCGGTGCATCATGCGCCATGGACTGGATCAGAAGCCTGACCCATCTACCCCGACCCCGCGCCTTTGACCCGCTGTCCTCACCCTGAGGCTGTGGCAGCCTTTGAGTCCCTGGCTCGACATTGATTTAATGTTTTTGACCTGTCCTCCGCCCGGCGCTGCCACCCCCGAGCCCACCCCTGAGCCCCGCCCCTGAGCTCTTGGTTCGACTCTGACTATATCCCTGACCTTTCCCCTGACTCGGCGCCGCCGCCCCTGAGTCCCGCCCCTGAGTCCCGCCCCTGAGTCCCGCCCCTGAGCCCCGCACGTGAGCCCCTGACCGGCCGTCGCCGCTGACCGCCCTGCCGTCCGCCCCTACAGGATGAAGTGTGTGGAGCTGACCATCAGCGAACTGGAGGAGGCCGGCACGATGGTGTCTGAGCTGGAGGTGAAGCTTGCCGACTACCGGCGGCTGCCTGACGACAAGGACGGCCTGCGCTCCGCCCACCTCAGCCTCGTCGACATGCAGAACAGCCTGCAGAAGCACCAGGTGAGCGGCGCTCGGAGGCGGCGCGCGGGGCGGGTAGGAGGAGAAGGAGGAGGAGAAGGAGAAGGAGGAGTAGGAGAGGTCATCACGCTCGGCCTGCGTAGCGGGGTGGTCGCGGCAGTCTGGCGCTGGTGCCGGCACTGTCTGCTGAGGCTGGGATTCGACAACACTCCTCCGCTCGGTGTATGCAAGGCTTCATCCATCACTACTGTTATTTTCGTGAATCGCATTTCGTGGGCACTCGTGGAACCCGATGTGTGCGTTGTGACCCTTGCCTCCCTTTCTCTCCTATAGACTGAGGCGCGCAACCAATATTCAGCGCAATGATCAGTGACGTGATTTGTCGTAGTCGTTTACGCGCTGTCCTCTCGTGCCGCTGTTGGTGACGAAATCAGTCCAGTGCGCAACGTGCTAGACTTCAGCCCTGGTTTCACGGTCTCCAGTCCCATCCGTCAATGACCACGTTAATCATGTGGCTTCCCTTCATCGTCGGTGAGCGCAGCCCGCTCCCCACCCCTCTCACTCCCCGCTCACCCCTCTCTCCGCCCTCTCCCACCGTGCACCGCGTCACTCCGCGCTCTGCCCTGCAGACGGTGATTGAGCGGCTGAACATGGACGTGAGCAAGACGCGCCAGGCGACCGAGCGCACGCGGCCGCGCCAGCGCAACCACGCCGACGTCGAGAAGCTGGAGGACGACGTGGGCAAGCTGACCCGCCGCTGGACCAACTGCTGCGAGGCTGTGGTGGACAGGTGCGGCCGCTGGTGGTGCGGCGGCGGCGCCTGCCGTCGACTGCGGCCGGCCAGGCGCCGGCTCGGCGGATGTGTTTATGCGTTTGTGTGTACAGGACTGAGGGAGGATGGCTGGTGTTGGCTGAGGACGACGTGGTGTTATCCGAAGTGGGATCTGCGGAAGTTGGTTTTGTGTCGTGTGGCCGGAATGGGGAGCAAGCTTTACAATGCCACAGTAGACGATGCGTCATATTAAACAGCTGGAAATGCTGCCAGAGCTTTGTGCGAGTTGCTGGCCACGCCTTGGACTAACCGCTGACCTTCGGCTATTTTCTTGCACCTCGACTGACCGTTTGTGCAATCCGGAGCTCACTTCATGGATCGCAGTGTGCTCATGTATATTCTTGTTTGATTCTGTTGGAAACTTCATGCCGCCTGTCCACGTCCGCTCGTATGCATCTGACGGCGTGGCCGGGCCGGGTCGGTGCTCTGACTGACGGCCAGCGGCCGCGTGCCGGCAGGCTGCGCGCCGTGGACCAGGCGGCCGACCTGCTCAGCCAGTACGAGCAGCAGGAGATGATGGAGCGCCAGTGGGCGTCGCAGAAGGAGTCGGAGGCCCGGCAAGCGCGAGCTGGAGCTCGAGCGGGCCCGGGTGAGTACGGCGCCGGTCGCCGGTGCGCGTCGCGTCTCTCGCGGGGGGATTGTACAGCCCGAGCTAGGTCAGCTAGGAGGGCAGCCGGCGGGTCGGCCCGCGCGCCGGGCTCCGGTGGTGGGTCTTGGGCTCGGCGTCGGGCACGGCTCGCCGGCAGAGGCCCGCGGTAGGAGTGCCGCTGCGTGGTGGCGTGCATGCGAAGCGTTGATGTGCTGCTTGTCCAAAAGGTGGCAGTGCTGTGGTGTGTGTGTTATGACCGTGTTGACCTTATTGCAGCTGTTGTACGACGAGGTTGTCGCTCGTCGGCCTTACATTGAGCGCGCCAACCGGCTGGGTGGCCGCTTTGTAATGCTGGCCCAGGTACGATGATCTCGACCTTCCACAGTGCGACGTATTGTTTTTAAATAAAAACGGTTCACTTCAATGCTGACTGTGGCTGGTTTGTAGTCCAGCGCTCTTCGACTTGCATGGCGTGGTTTTACGTTTGCTTCTCACGGCATGTGTGTGCGTTCCGTAGCCGAGTCTAGTGTGTACAAAGTTAGCTAGTTTGGCTGTGTGTGGCATGCGCTTCGTTCTTTCTGCTTTCGGGAGTCTGGCGACATTGCATCAGCTGAACTAACCACCCAGCGTTCCCCGTGACATAAACTAGCCAGCATCCTCACTCGCACATGACCTGCCCATCTCACCCCTCGTGTGTCCCCGACGTCCCGGGTGTGCTCATCGCTATACGCCATCGGACGCTCACTAACACGGGGTACACGCACAGGAGCGCTCTGGGACACCCGACCCCCGCCCGGCCTGACTTGCGCCTCCTGCCCTGGCATGTCCTGCCCTCCACTCCCACTCTGCGCTGCCCCGGCATGTTGTGCCCTGCCCCGCCCTGCCCTGCCATATCCTGCCCTGCCCTGCCCTGCCACACACCCTGCTCTGCCCTGCCCTGCCCTGCCATGCCCTGCCCTGCCCTGTTTTGCCCTGCTCTCCTGCCCTCCCCCTCCTCCCTGCTCTGCCCTGCCATGCCCTGCCCTGCTCTGCCCTGCCCTGCCCTGCCCTCCCCTGCCATGTCGCCGGGCTCCGTCTCCTCTCTGTCGCTTGGTTTCCTGCACGCCGCGCCGCCCACTAACGCTCCACTAACCAGCGCGCGCCGCCCGCTCAGCTGTACGAGCGCAGGGCGGCCCTCTTCGGCGGCGTCGGCAACGGTGGCGTGTGGCGCTGCGCCGGCCGCGTGGTGGACAGCCTGGACGCGCTGAACGTGCAGTACCAGACGCTGGCAGACACGCTGTTCACCATCGTGCGGCTGAGGAGCAGCGAACGCGGCGCACAGGTAGGTCCCGACAGGGGGCGTGGCAGTCGGCGGGGAAGGAGCGAGTCAGGTGGACCCGACGGCGGGGGTGAGGGGGCGTCTCACGAGGGAGCGCTTAGAGAGCGTACTGAGTGTGGATGGGCGGCGGGGATAATCGAACTGGCGTCGAGGTTGATCTCCAGATAAGATACCCCTGCAAGGCACTGACGAAGGGCGCCCAGCACCACGGCTGCTGCTAATGCCATTGCCCGACGACGAACCAGGATTGGCCGCCGGAGATTAGTGCGCTGGCGACACTGGGGGCGAGTCAGAATCACACTGCAGACGCTGCAGACAGTATCGAACCCCTGATAGCGGTTATGGTGGGGTCATATTGATGGTAGGCTTACTTGCTCAGGGCGGCGTATCGGCCGGGTTGAGATCGGGGTCTAGCGGGACGGATCCGGGCAGGTGATTCCCGCCAGGACCAGGGACGTCAGTGAATGAATCGTATTTAGTAGCGTCGTTCATTTGTGATCAGTCACAAAGTACCCGCGAAATTTGTTTAAACGGCTGCCGTTGTTTCATGTCATCCGCAGATACACTCGACGGGATTGGGGCACAGACATTTTTATTTGTTGTTTGTTTTGTTTGCCCTGTTTGATTTACCAACAACAATGCGAGTTTTTCTTGTTCGATCCTCGCTATCATCCTCCATTGACACTGCTTGCAGATTGTCGAATGATTAAAAAACGCAAAAGCACACTCGTCTATCTCTTGAAGTTTACAATCAACAACTCATACCCCAAAACCTATTTGAGCACCTTATCTTTTGTGTCTAAGCATCCCACTTTAGGATGTCACTTGCGTTGTACTTGACCATGTCGCCCCGTGTTTTTGCCATCGCTCTTGAGTGGCCAGGGACTGGTACGGAATGGTTGTTGACTCGCCCTTACCGAAAGCGTACTGTAAGAAGCCGCCGCGTGATCTTATCGGCTGCGCTGTAACGGGTTTGGCGGTCCGGGGTGTTGTTCAATGAGGAGTCTGCGGGTTTACATGGCACTCCACTCCCACCCTGCCGCCGGGTCCACCTGCACCGCTGAGAGGAGGGGGGGGGGGGGGGCTGGAGTGGGTGGGTGAATGGGGGTAGTTGGATGTCGCAGCATGCCGAGTCTGTGTTTGGTTGTGTTCCGTCGTGGTCACCAGCAGCCGACGCTGAAGGGGATGACGTGTCGCCGTGTGTGCTGTTGTGCGTCCCGCCCGTCCACCTGTCCGAACGCGGCCTGGCCTCAGCGGCCGGCGCCTTCTGGAGCGTGATCTCACTCGTCACCGCCCTACAGTCTCCTTCACACACACCCGGCCGGTCTTAGGGAGATCTGGCGAGCGCGCGCACGCCGGCGTTGGGGTCGCCTTTGCGCTGGGTGCTCGGTATCGGCAGAGTTGGCTGGCGTCTCTTCAGTTTTCATTGGGTTCCCGACGCAACTCTACGGTTGCGCTGAAGCATTGAGTCCCTCGATGCGACGCTCGCGGGACGGGCCGTCAACAGGAAACCACGGGCGTCCGTGCCCGCGGTCCGTCCCCAGCCGACCGCGGCGCCCGCTGGCCACGCGCTCGTCCCCAGCCGGCCAGGAAGCGAGGCCGGCGCGTGGGCGGCGCGTGGGCGCCCGGCAGAGAGCAGCCGCGCGATGAGCGCCGGCGCGTGCCACAAGGCCGGCGTCCCTATAAGGCCGGCTGCTTCGAACCGTACGATGGATGGTCCGCGACGGACGGCGGAGGCGGCGGGGGTGGTGGCGTAGCGGCAGGTTCGTATGCAGGTGGAGCGCGCCGTCGCCCTCCGCGCGGCTACCGGCTGATGCAAGTGGCGGCACTGACCGGTCCGGGCGGCGTCTGCCGGCTCGCCGTGCCATCGGGGGGCCGGGTCGAGGGCAGAGCGGCGCGGAGGGATCGCCCCGGGCGTCCACCGCGACACCGCCCACCGCCCGGCCGCCGCCACCGCTCATGTTAAAGTCAGATGCATTTTTTCGCCGTTGTTTGGCCGCCGGCCTAGCCTTGGAAACCCGTTTGCGCTGCAGAGCGCGGTTTAATGGCCTCGTTTTGCGGTGCCGCGGGTGTGGGGCCGGCCGCCATCGGCGGCGGCCCTCCTGACGCGTGCGGGGCACGTAGCCGTCGTGTTTGTCGGACGCCCCAACCCGTAACGGCGACACCTGTTGTCCGCGCGCCGCGCCGCTGCCATCGCTCAAACACTCGGCGGCCGCACAGTGGCCTAAGAGGTGCCGCGCACCCCGCGCCGCCCGCTTATGTAGCGAATCCAATTTGGAGGCATTCGTATGCAAAGGCAGGTCTGGCTTCCTCGCGGCGGCGCAGGGGCTGGTGAGAAATGGACGCCGGGCGGCGCGCGGAAGGCGGCCGGCCGGGCGGAGCGAACTGAGTCGCCGCCTTTCCTGGACGCTTATCGCTGGCGCGCCCGGACAGATCGGGCTGAAACAGACGGGAAACGGCTCCGGAGGCCGGGCGGGAGGCAGTGGGGCGGCGATACCATCGGGCGCGCCGCGCGGGCGTGGGACACGGCGGCGCGCCGCCCACTCTGCGCGCGCCGATGAAGCCGTCGCCCGGCGGAGGCGCCGCGAGCCGGCCCGGCCCGGCCCGGCCGCCGCCCATCAGCATGCATTGCCCCGGCGGCCGTGTTGCGTCCCGCGCCGCGGCAGATTGATAGCGCGCCGGGGCGCCTGATCGGGCCGGGCGTTGATAGTCGAGCGGCCTGTAAACACGAGCGCAGGGGCGGCGGCGGCGAGCGCGCCCGAGCGCGGCGCCGCCGCCGCACGCGCCGTCTCGGGTCGCCGCCGCCCGTGAGCGCGCCTCGAGCGGCGCCGCCAGTGCCGGCGGCGAGCGCGGCGCGACAGGCGACGCGCGGCCGCGCCCCCGGGCCGCCAGCTGAGCGGCCTCGTCGGCGTCGACGCCGAGCCGGTCGCCGGGCGACGGGACGGCAGTGCGCCGTCGTCGGCGAGGGAGACGGCGCACGGCGCGCGAGAGCCAGCGGTGACCATGTGGGCGGGCGGGCCAGAGCCGGCGTCGCCGGCGCGCCCGCTGCTCCGCCGCCTCCTCTCCATCCAGCTGCTCGAGGCAAGTGCTTCCGGACCGGTGACGTCACGGGCGGCGCCCGAGGCTGCGCCGGTCGATCGGCGGGGGTCACGGTCGGCCGGGGGTCACCGACGGCCGGCTCGCGGCGGCCGGGGCGCGCCGCCGGCGGCCGGGCACCGCCGACCTGCCGCCGGGCCGCCGGTGCGCTCCCGGGCGCCCACGTGCGGCGCCGGCCGGCCGGGTGACGTCACACGTGCCGAGGTGGCGAGAGCGGGTGACGTAGTCACCGGCCGGACGCCGACCGGTCGCGGCGGCATGGCCTCGCCTGGAGCCGGCCCCGGGGCTTGGGGAGGTGGTGGCTGACCGGGTCGGGCCGGTCGGAGAGGCGCCTGTCGGTGGCCGATAGCCCGCTCAACACGGTCGATAGCGCCGAGGGAAGCGCGCGGGCGGAAACGGTGTTGACTGATCTGTCCCTTTAAACGCGGCCATAAGGCGTGATCACAATCGATCGTCGCCGGGAGATAAAAGCCTCTGTTTTTAGTCGCCCCTTACATGCTTAGCGCGGATGGTCTGCTGGCACGCAGTAGCTGGTGCACGAAACACCAGCCCACTGACCGTGCCCGGTCTCCCCGAATAGCGACAGTCGAACCCGGCCATTCAGCGATGGTCTGACTGCCGCGCATGACCGGCCGCGAGTGACGAGGGTGCGACCGCTGCCTCGCCGCTCGCCGCCGCCACAATGGCCGCCTGTTGATATAAATATACTTATGGCGCGGCGCGCGGCGCCGGCTGGCAGCAGCCGGGCCGCCTGACCTCCGCACGTGACTCCGGCTCCGTCGCGCTCCGGCCGGCGGCGGCGGTCGCGGCGGCGCTCCATCGCGGAGGAGCCGGCGATGCGGCGGAGGCGGGCGGCGACGGTGACGGGTGGGGATCGCGCCGCCGTCTGGCGCGGCCGGCCGGCGGAAATGTCGCCGCCGTCGCGCCCGCGCCGGCCGGGCGTTCGTCACTGTCGAGGCCGCGCGGCGTCGGCCGGCGGCGGTTTTTGTCCGCTCCAGATGCTGCTCGCTGAGGGCGGGGCCGGGCGCCGGCGGTCACGTCCGTCGTCGCCCGAGCAGCGTCGCCGACGGGCCGGTAGGCCAGCTGTCGACGGCGCTCGGCTGCGCTGGACTCGGAGCTCGGAGCCGCGGGTCAGAGGCGGACTCAGTCGCGCCAGCTTGGGAGGCAGCCATATCGGCTGCGCTGGACCCGGAGCTCGGAGCCGCGGGTCAGAGGCGGACTCAGTCACGCCAGCTTGGGAGGCAGCCATATGTGTTTGCTGACGCCCTCACTTCACGACAAATGACGCCAGCAGAGGTTGTTCCTGACAATTCACCCGACGTTCTTGACGCCATCACGCAGTCAGAAAGCATGAGCGAGCCGGTCTCCCTTGCCTCGCCGCGGACCGAGGGTAAGCTGCAGACCCTGGCCGGTGGCGGCCAGCGGTGGTGCCGCCGACGTCTCTGGGCGATCGCAGCGCCTCGCCCCCGCCCGGAGCCCCGCTCCTGACCCCGGCCGGGCGTCGCCTCGCGCCCGGCCGTGTTTACCGCCGCCGCTTGGAGACGGAGGGCAGCGGTGAGCGGCAGCTGCTCAGTTGCAGTCGGCTGGCGTCGGTGTTCAGATTAGCGCGTTGGCGTGTTTGAAACGACGCTGGCGGTCGTTTCGGGTCATATGCCAACAGACGGTGCTGTGAGGCTTCCAGCGCGTTCAACTGATGGTGGGAGGGAGCGGGGCGCATCATTATTTTTGTGAAGGGGAGCCAGGTGATCACGCATAACGCTGATTTTAACTTTCTGTCGTCAGTTCATCCTCACAGATTGTTTTTTGCCGATTTCGACTTTGTTCCTGAGATATTTCGGCCCAAACGGAGCTCATGTTTTTTTGTTGCTTTCTTAAATGAACTTTTTGGTTGTTTGAGTGAAACATGA